TTTGTGAAGAACAATGTCTTCATTTTCATCACATACAACTCATCCTGCAATCATCCCACACCATAGCAAACATCAAGCATTACATACGCATTTCATCACACAAAAATTGCTTCATCAAATTTTCACAACCATCACTCTACAACTTCAAATGCATACATTTTCAGTCAACATCATCTTGTCTCACACAATCATTCACAAATAAAAAGACAGCTTCAAGGAAAGCTCAACACGCCACATAACCGTCAACAAATGCATAAGACTTCACTTAGACTCTCATTAAATTCCACAGGAACCAACGTGTGAGTAAATCACCAAATCCGTGACTTCCCTCACAAGCATCAATAGGAAGAAAGTCTTGTATCGAATTTTCAACAAACTTCTTCCCACACAACGAACCATGACTCAAACAGTCGCGTCCCCAGTGAAAATTACACCAGGAAAGCAATACAGGATTACTAAATCAAGAACACTCCCCCCCCCCTCGTACCAAATATGGCGAAACCGCATCCGGGTAAACCCAAATGCCCAGCCACACCAATTCTTTTCCTTCCCCCCGAAGAAGAAAATAAAACTAAAACTAAATTTCTTCGGAAGAAGGAGACACGGGTTTCCAGCTTTCGCGGCAGAGGGGCCGCCCGCGGAAAGACCAGTCGACCTCCGGGGTTGCGAAACGCGTCTTCCCTGAAGTAGCCCCGGCGGTTGCGCAAATGCCTTCCACGTAAGCACATCTCGCCTCTCTTCCCCCTCCTCCTCGAACCACCCTCTTACACAAAACATTTTCTCACTTACTCCACTATAGGCCGCACACCCCCAACCCCTCCTTCAAGTGAAAAACAAGTTGTCCAACAGCCCTGATGTGGCCTATGTTCTGGAAAATTACGTCTAGGCCACGCTGAAAGAATGTAAGTGAAGACCCTGACTCAAGATTAGATTTAGAAAAAATCTACTGAAGAACGTTCTGATCAAGATATTCGTACATAGGCCACGCTGATATCGACCCATACTTCAAGCATAAAAACCCTCAACTCAAAAGCTCTGGTGTGGCCCAAAGAGCTTGCGCCTAGGCCACAATCTATGCTCGGAACAGTTTGATCTAGGCCACACCGCATGGAAGATAACTTTTTTTTAATTTTAAGTTCATTGAATTGCAAACATGGAACCAAACAACTTCTAATCTTGAAAATTATGGGGGAAATCCAGCTTGTTTCAATTGAAAATCTGCCCACTAAAACTCCAAAGCTAACTAATCTTATGTTAAGTAAGAAACTGTTGATCAGAAGTTCATATACAAATACAAAACAATCCCTGCTTTCAATAATTATCCTCTCCACAAATTCACAATAGTTCTTGAACTAAGCAAATATATCACTCTCCATTGGGTTCTCAACAAGCAAAAGTTCCCTTTGGTTTCAGGAAGAAATTTTTCATGGGAAGATACTACATGACTGTACTGTACATGGAACATCCTGAATAGAAAAGATAACAATAAAATCTCATCAGTTTAAACAAAGTGAATGCTTTCTAGTCTGGGAAATGTTGACAGCGAGGTTCTCACACTACTGAACTACCTGCAATTCTGCAGGTTGTCAACTGAAGAGTGCAGGGTTTTTTAGACAGCTCTCAGCTTCAAGAAAATGTTGACTTTTTTCCAAAACCAAATCACAAAATTCTTATAATTGTCTCAAACTTTAAGCCGCATCCAGTCAGTGCGGAATACAGTACACAAAAATACCTATAGTTCAGGTCATGAAAAAGTTTCTGAGCAGTTGGAGGAGTGGGAAGTGAAGCCTGTAGTGGAGCAAAATACAGTAACTCTACTGTACTGCACTTGCGTCAATACGGTACGAGATCTTGACGCCATCTTGAAAAGAATCTATCCCTGTTTGGGGGGAAATAATGTCGAAGAGCTCACCAACCTTTCCGCGAGAAGATGCGTTGTGGAGTATTTTCTCAAGTTCTTTCACCAACACACACAAAAAAAGTTTTTCTTGAGGCTTCTCTTCTCTCACAACACTTCCACGATCACCACTTCAGTGACGTCACAAGACACACGAATAACGCCCGACACTTTCTCGGAATGCCCATATTTCTTCTTCTCTCGTTTTCCCGTTTTCAGCAATGAAATCCCGACGAGGATTTATGTCGCTTCACCGATCGATCATCTCGGAACTTCATTTCCGAGACAATATAGAAAAAAAAACACTTCCACAAACGATGGGACGAACGACGAGGATACAAAACCTAAGGGGGAAAACCTTTTGTTAGTCTACAATTCCGGAACTTGCACAATCGTGATTCACTTCCATGGCGTGACAAACGCGATTAACTCACCATTCGGGAAACAATGAATGCTATTAACAAATACTTATCAAATGAAGGGCGAATATCATGTATAAATACTGTACATGTTACCCACTTATTTCCATGTGAAGTCACAATGCGGAAACTGTATTAGTGAAACTAGCGCCATTAGTTCATGACTCCGGAGCTCGTCAAAAAGAGGATCCCTTTCCACCCAGAAACAATCCGATTCCCTATTACAGGGTGTATGCACGAATTTCACGACAGCAAAGCGAAAAAATGAGAAACTAGCATTCAGAAAACGTAATTTTCACCCCTGTTCACTGAAAACAGGGATTCACTTCTCGAGCTGAAAACGCAGTCCTTTCATCACTCGGGAACACAGAAATTGGGATTCACTTGGTGCTCAGGGATTTCAAGAGCACGATAACTTTACCGATTGAAAATGATGCCAAAAAAGATTCACTTCAGTGATGTGACAATGATTTCACTGAACTTGAGCTCAAGATGCACCATTACTGTAATCGATTTCCATTTCAGCAAATGCTCTTGGCTGACTTGCTCGCGTGGCGACTTCGCGAGGGCGACTAAAGAGTAGGGGGAACTTGAAGGCCAACCACCCGCGCGCGGGACGATGCTGCGTTACATACTCTTTGTGCCACTGGAGACGCTCACTATGGCACAAAAAAAAAGGTGCTTCACACAATGGTCTCCATACTTCTTAGCGTAAAAATCACCAAAAATTATGGGTCTAATCAGCAAAGCTAGATGTGATGGTCACTCTCTTCCCAATATTTCACTGAGAGTACAGTGTTCACTTGAATTACAGCTTGGCTTTTGTTCCTGATCCCTTTTGAAAATGTCCTTCATGGATTCTTGAGCATCAATAATAAATTATTGCATCAATGTTCAACGAAAAAAAAAGATAGCATTGCTCAACACAATCTATGAGGCATACAAAAAGCTCTCCATTACCAAGCAAAAGTACCTTTTGCTCGGCAGCCTAATCCCCAGATTATTTTTTCATTTATTATTTGAAAAGGAAAATTTTGGTGCAAGGACTATTATCCAAAGAAGGATCTACAACACAATCCAATGATTTTTGACAGCCTGAGCCCATAATTCGAAGAATCCGTAGCGCAAGATGTCCGTTATCCGGAGCATCACTAACACTCTTGAGCCCGCATGGGCTCTTTAGGGACAGATAGATCAAACGCAGCATTGTGGCGAAGTTGGATCCCAAGTCTCACGCCCCGCACACTAGTGGCCAGTGGACCATCTGTCTGTCCTTCTTTGCGACTGGTTGCATAAAAAAGTCATGGGTTGCGCGGGTTTTCTCCACGTCTCCATTTGGGCTACAGATCAACTTGAGAATACCCGCTCGCAGATGCTCAGAGTGGAAGATCTAAATTTATGATAAATATTCTTCCTGCTGTAAGAGATACATTTTAAAGACAAAAACAAATGAATAGCCCACTAAAACACTTCGCCATTGCCTCCTTTTAGGCTTTATTTTCATACTTTGGTTTTTCCATACTAATGATTGTCTCGAAGTTCTTCGCATCAGCTATCAAGGATTTGCAGTGTGGATAATTAAGGTGTACTTTACTCGGTATTTGGAGGATCCCGCAGCCATTTTAAGCTCTGGTGAAGTTTTTTATTCAACCTTACCAAAGTCTGTGCGGGAGCCAGCAGGCAAGGAGATGGCTCCGGCTCCGATTTCAAGTTTACTTCACTCTCTTTCCCTTCCCTCCCTTCAGAGCGAACAGTCCCTCTCGCAAATCCCATCACTTCTCCCCCTCTCCAGAAATTGAGAGTTTTCTCAAGTCCCTCACCAACTAGCGCTGTTCTAAGGAAAACGCTCAAATCATTCCAGAGCGCGGGTTTCATGCGTGACACGCCGCGGCTGTTCACGACACTCCCTCGGTTTTGGTCGTATGGGGTTCTGTGGACCACCGGAGAGGGAGTTAACCTTGGCGGTTCAACACCCGCCTCTTCGTTTGATGCGCTGAAGGAGAGAAGCGGCAGAACCATTGGTGTTGGACGCTGTACAACCGCGACACCTACCGTGACTAAACATTTTAAATTCTTTCCTGTTTCAATCAACACGCAACAGGTGTCGCCCTGCAAGACTCCACCCTCTATTCTTTTCCTGTGTCAGGTTCTGCCATATGCATGGCCCAATTCAGGATGAATAAAGCTTAAATTTAACTGTTTCTTTTTGTACACTTTTTTGATTTCAGCCATGGCCTTCATATTTTCAGATGAATGTTTTCGTGTAAATGCATCCCAGACATATCCATCATGCAGTTGCTGCTGGTGATCAACAAATTCAATAATCAAAATTGATACAGCAAGTGACATGCTTGACTGGAAAAAAGTTTGAAATTTGAAGCAAGGGCAAGGATTCATCTGGTACTCAAGTGATTTGATGATTGTAATTTGCATCAATCAATTAAGAGAAACCCCAAAAAATTCTGAAATACAGGGGTAGACTACAACAAAATGGAGAAACCCTAAAAAATTTTTGATGATCATTTTACTCCAGGGCCATAACATATAGAGAGAATTCTAAAAGGGACTCACGCAACCTTGGTTATCCCAAAAACATTTTTTAAATTTTAGATTGTTATTGAGAGTCCACCCCTGAACAGCAAATATTGTATATACACCTGTGATAGAAACACACAGTACAGAAATTTTTTTTCATGCATGGATATATTTTTCTTCCTTCAAATTAATAAAAATCAGGATACACAGCAGCACAAATGAAAAAAGGAGAAAAACCGCGCAACCGATTGAACAGAACCTCCTCGACCCTCCAAAAAAAGTTCTCTATTCACACAAAAGCAATCCACGTATTTTTTCCCTTTTCTCTTTGTACTCCAAGTTGCAATCTCAGAAAAACCATATGTTTCTCTCACCACATCCCTTTTGCACTGCAAGCAAACCCAGGGCAAAATGATAATAATAATAATAATCATAAAAAATCTCCTCTCTAAGCATAAAAGGCAAGGATTTCTCTCAAGTTTCATTGCATCCCAGGAAGCACCCCTGCTGCAAAAAAAAAAACACAAAACAAAAAAATATAGAAATTGTGTGTTGCCAAAACGCCCTGAGTAATGACTTCCAGTCTCTCTTTCTCTCTCTGCCTGTCCTGATCATAAAAAAAATCATTCATTCTGATTAACTCTGCATGTCAGCCTCAGGTGCACAGGAAAGGGAATTACCAACACCAGTGTTGCCAGAAAAAAAGCCAAAAAATTCCAACAGAAACTCTTTAAGCACCTTTCATCTGTCTCTCTGTCCCCAAATCCCCCCCCTCACAAAAAAAACACAAATGCTTGATTGTTTTGGCAGGACTCTCCCCACACTTGGTAACAAAATGTCAAGGGTTACACAGAACCTTTGGGAAAGGATGGATGGATGGAAGGCAGGAAGGCAGGAAAGAAGGAAGAAGAAAAAGAAATGGACGTTGTATTTCTTTCTTTCTTTTTTTTGCTTTTTGTTTCATTATTCTTGGAACCTGGTGCAGGCTTTCTTCCATTTGCACTGGGTGCACCACAAGTCCCTGTTGTCCACACCATAGACTTTTCTGCACTTTTTGCTCTCTGCCCTGCGACTCCTGCTCACCAGCACCATTTTGGGAGATGTGCCTGGCTTTGGACTGTGTCTGGCATACTTGTGCGGGGACAACTGTTTGGCAAAAAATTAAAAAGACATGGAATAAGCACACAAAAAATATAAGGTCAAATTTGATGAAAATGGATGGCCAAGCTGAAGCTTCTGCCAGCTTTTTTTGCAGTGCATTCATGCCTTACAAAAGAACATATTACAACAAGTACCAGGAACACTTAGTATCATGACTCAAACATGGTGACTATCAAGTAATTCTGGAAACTTGAAAATTAGTTGTCAAATGCAATGATTTCTTCTGAAATGATTTTAATGCAGTGCATGAATATTTTGGTCACACCAGAAAAATTTCATTAAAAAATTACAATGGCCCATAAAAAGTTGTTAGTTCAGCCCTAATGTTTCATAAGATTATGAGAAGAATGAGGAACCCAAACTAGTTCAATGCACAAAGGTTTTTATATTTTCAAGAATATTGCAGACAAATATATTTGAAAAGAATTCACTTGAAAGTTAGCTTCATAGGAGTCAAAATCATATTTTCTTGGTGGCATGTAGCATTCATCAATGAAATCTTCAAAAGGAAATGGCAAACTTACTGGTGAGCCTCCATAGGGATGCCAAGATATTCCTCTCTGGGGGATGGAAATTGGCACTGCTGTTGTCCTGCAAGTAATGAAAGACATAAACTGAATTGATAAACAGAAATCATTGCAATACTAGGTACAAAAATCTCCTTGCATAATTTTTTAACTTTAATCACTTTAATCATAGACATAATAATCCTCTCTGTCCAAGTCTTCATAAATATACATCTCACTCTCACATGGAACACAACCCAACTTAGTCCAAGCAAACCAAAAAAGTGACCATTTGAACTAGACATGACCAAGTACAAAAAAAAGATCTAAACTAGTCCAACCTTATCCCATCCAAAACAGGATCCAAGTTAGTCCTCACCAACCAATCCAAACTAGTACTTAACTAAAACCAAACTAGTCCTCACCAACCTTCCAAAATAGGATTCATATTACAGCAGTCCTTATCCACCCTCCAAACTAGTCATATAAACTACAATCCAAACTGGTCATTCCTAACCATCCACACTATTCCTCACCAACCATCCAAACTAGTCTCATAAACTACAATCCAAAGTAATCCCAACCAACCATCCAAAACAGGATTCAAACCACAGTTATCACTAACCATGCAAACCAGTCTTGAAATCTCTGGCAAACCAGTCCTCACCTATCAGCCAAAATAGTCATGAACTACCTGGCAAACTTGTCCTAACATACAAACCAAACTAGTCCTGACATACCATTCAGAAACAGAGTGCCATCTAGTCCTAACCTCTCTCATCCAAAACAGAATCAAAACTAATCCCCAACTTCTCTCATCCAAATCAAAACCCACATCAGTTCAAACTTCTCTCACCCCAAAACAGGATTCCCAACTCCCAAGTACAGTAGTCCTACCATCATGATGACCAACCTTCATACTCAGTGAAAGAGAGTAAACAGTATATCTTCATATACTCTCTCTCTCTCTCTCACATCAAACCCACACACACACACACACACACACACACCTTTGGGAAGGTGAGTGTGACATCAAGTCCGGGTTCTCATGCGGTGGTCGGGCCATGTCCATGTGTGACAAGGTGGGTGCGGATGATGCGTGGAATCCAACGTAGGAGTCGCCGCTGCCTCTCAACACATCCCGCGTCTCCGCCAGATGTCGCTCCTGAACACTGCCCACCACGAATTTTTGTTTCGCTCCCACTCCATCCTCCAGTGCGTGTAGTACGTCGAAGAAGTTCTCCTCTGGTACGTCAATCTCCGTATAGTAGAACGCCAAGTCGTCAATTTCGTCCCTTCAATCATAAATTTCACAATTATTTTCGAATATGGCCACACGAAATGAGTTAATGCAGAAAAGCAAAATAATTTACAAAAAAATAGTTTTTGCGACTACAGTATTAAGCTGCAACTTCAGCAAGAAAAACCAACAACAAAATTAACGATATGAATGTTCATTGATACAAATAATGCTCATAAATGAGAAATCCATTTTGTTCAAACACCAGAACAATACTAAAGTTTTGGCGCAATTTTCAAAAGTGCAAAGGAACTAAAAGGTTTCAACAAATACATCCTTGGTGAATTTATTGCTTTGTGAAATAAAAAAATGCTATCAAACTGAATCCAACAGGAATTCTCTATTTACCATCAGTAATGTTATTCTTTTTTCACAAAGAAGCAAAGCAAAAATTAAAACTTATATTGTTCTTACTCATTATGACTTATATGAATTATATGACAAGAAAAATATTTCCTCTAGAATTGTTACTACAATAATCTTTAAAAATTTTCTGTTGAATTTAAAGCAGGGTGAAAAAAAGGAGCTCAGTGTTGCCAAAAGGACCATTATTTATTTTTTCCCATGGAAAATAGCACATCAAAATTTGTACTAATCAAAACATGTGAGGTACAATTTTCTTTTTTTGAAGATATATTCAGTGAAAAAAATATAAATACTGTATACACAGTATGTGAGTATTTCCTTCTAAAAATTTAGGATACACAGATGCATGATCATTTTATGTATTTATTTGTGTAGAATAATGACAAATGTCATGAATATTTCCTTTTAAACTTTCAAAATCAGAAACTGCAACCAAAGAAAAGAGAGTTTTTCTCAGAAGTTTTTTTTTTCTTGCAAGTTGACCAAGAAAAAAAAAATCTTTGACTTCAAGAAACAGGCCATGACTTTGAAGATAACAATTTATAAATTTTGCCCCCGGGTATTTTAAAAGAAAGAAGAAATGCGAAAATAAATGGGCTCACCCCAAGTGGGTGTCCTTCACGTGGTTCTCAACCACAGAGCAGGTCAAGGTGAGGAAGTCGCACCCCTTCCATGTGCACTTGTAAGCAGTCCTGGTTCCCTCCTGCATAAAATGAAGGACAAAAGTACCTTTAATACCAAGTACCATTATCCAGGATATTGGGGAAAAAATATCATACAATTAAAAGGTGTTCTAAACAAAACAGTGGACCAAATAAAAAATAAAAACAGATTCCCCTGAGGTTTGGCATTGCAAAAACCAAACAAAATCTCCAATTCAAAAATGGTTCCATTGTTTTTCTTGGTGCTACTCCAGCAGAAAAAAACCAAATTCCATAAAAACAGTGAAAAAGATGTTTTTCAAGTCAAATCCCCTGAATGGTCAGAACTAAAATCTGCACAAAGTATAAAATTGAAGAACAAAATGTCCAATTCAAAAACGGTTCACTGATTTTCTTGATATAACTCCAGCAGAAAAAAAAACTGCATCCCATAAAAACAGTGAAAAAGATGCTGTTCAAGTCAAATCTCCTGAATGTTCAGAACTAAAATCTGCACAAAGTATAAAATTGAAAAACTTTCAATATAAAATAATGATCCATTATTCAGGATATTGGAAAAGATTACATTATTACAGGGTGTTTTACATCAAACACCACATGGACCAAATTCCAAATGCAAGTAATATCTCCTTGATCTTTGACACAACAAACTGTCCAATTTAAAAATGTTTCCATTGTTTTTGTTGATGCTACTCCAGCAGAAAAAATGAACTGCATCCCAAAAAACAGTACAAAAGATGTTTTTAAAGTAAAATCTCGTGAATGGACAAAGTATAGAATTGAAGAACTTTCAATATAAAATAATGATCCATTATTCAGGATATTGGAAAACATTACATAATTACAGGGTTGTTTCACATCAAATACCAAATGGTCCAAATTCCGAATACACAGTCATATCTCCTTAATGTTTGACACAAAAAATTGCCAAAAAATTGTCCAATTGAAAATGGTTCAATTTTTACCAAATGATGTTACTCAAGATAAACATGTTCTGCATCCCATAATAACAGTGAAAAAGATGCTTCTCAAGCCAAATCTCCTGAATGGTCAGAACTAAAATCTGCAATAAGCATCAAATTGTAGAGCCTTCAGTACAGAGTACAGTACTGTGCCTTTATTCAGGGCATTGGAAAAGATAATATTATTCCAGTCTGTTCCACATCCAACACCAAATGGACCAATTTCCAAATACAACAGTCATATCTCCCTAATCTTTGACCCTACCAACTGCTAAAAATTGTCCAATTGAAAATGTTTTCAAAATGGTGCTACTCAGGAAAAAGAATTTATAGCCTCAAAAATAAAGCAGTGAAAAATATATTCAAGAGTCAAATCTCCTGAATGTCCAGAAATACAATCTGCACAAGGTATCAAACTGAACAACACAAGTATATAACCTTCAATATGCAGTACTGTACCATTTTCAAGGGTATTGGAAAAACGTAATACTGTACTATGTATGATAGACAGCAGGTCTCCTAGAAAAAATTTTTTGCTGTGGGAAGTGAGGGTTCCTGCATAATTTTTCAAGGGAATCAATGCAACTTTTTTTACCCATCAATAGCAATGTTTCTTTTTTTTGCACTCAAAGTTTCTGTTTCATTTTATAACATTGTATGCTAAAATAAATTCTTACTACATTTTTCGCCTATGACTCATGAAAAGTCATGTTTCACACGACAGTTCCGGAAAACCGGTTTCCCTATACGGACACCTACATTTCTTTTTTTAAATCCAACCCTGCATACACTGTCAAGGTTGCCAGAACTCCAGGAAGCCAGAGCAAGCATTACATGCGGGGAGGAGAAAGGACGTGGAAACGGGAAAACGTGTTGCAACTGCGCATTGCACACAAACAAAAGAAGAAAAGGAAACAAAGCAAGAAAGAAAGGAAGAAAAGAAGGAAGGAAGCGAACCGGCAAAAGACACAGCGGATAGATCAGAACTACGATACTGTACTGTACTCACAACACATGAAACAAGCGCGAGCGAACGAAGCGAACGAACGACAGACACAGAGCATAGAAAAAAGGACAGGTACGACCATTTTCAGATGGACAACACGAAAGACGAAGAAACGAAACGAATCAAGTTGCCCAACGCTTTCCATGAACTTGGGATTCAGTTTTTAACCCGGTTTTCTCTCATCCTATCCCGTCCTCTTTTTCTTTGCATCTCTTCTTCACTCCCGTTGTATTTTAATCCACTCTCTTTCTCCTCCTGCTGATCTCTGTATACCTGTCCTTTTGTCTGTCTGTCTGTCACTCACTCACTCGGCTTCGCCCTTCCGCGCGCGCGTGCGATTGCTTCATTCCGAGAAAGTGACGACTTCATGCACCACTAACTTCGTTTCCCCGGAGCGAAGGAGAAAGGGAGAGAAAGAGAAGAAGACAGAGAAGCAAGGAAGGAAGGGATAAAGAGTATACATGGGATACATGCTTGGATGGATGGATGGATGGAAGGAGGGCATGGGACAACTATGAAAACCGCAACAACGTCCAGGAAGACCTGCCGGGAAGTTTCCCAGAATACAATATACAGGTCACTAGGATGGAGGGAGAGAGAGGCGCGCAGGAGGGAGGGAGTGGACAGCCAAGGATGGTAATACTTTTTCTTCCTCCACTACTACAGTACTATGTTCAGTAATTTGTGAAGTGAAGTAAATTAATGAAACCAGGTATGAAATAACAAGTGATTCCATGAGCATAAGGTACATGTTCAGTACTTCGTAACAAATACTGCATATGATGGGTGTGGATCAGAAAAATAAATCTTGTAGAGTACAGTACTATTCTAAGTCATGTATTTTACACTATTGTACTGTACATTCCTTCCTCCAATATGATGTACAGAAGTATTGTAAAATAACAGGTGATTCCATGAGCATGTGGAACTTTTTACAGCACTGTACAACAAATACTGAACTTCATCTTGGGTGTGGATCAGAAAAATGAACATTGTACTAACTTAGGTTATTTACTGTACACTACAGTGTTCCTTGGTTGTCACATGCCAACTTTCTGCTCCCTTAAACTTTGGCTGAAGAAATCACTGTTTCTGGCATGATTGCCCAGACTGGAAATAGACAAGCCTAAGCTCTACTTCAATGTGACAAATATAGAAGTGGATCAAAGGAATACCATACACTACAGTATAAGATGTTTTAGATTAAGCTGAGCCTTTTCACATTATAGTACAGCATTTTTGCTCTTGTGTGCTTACTTCTTCCTCCCTAAAATGTGTGGAAGAAAGGAAATTATAGCTTCCAACATGAAAAATGTGAGAGGGAATGAGAGAAAGGCATATTTTATGACATAGAGGTGTGTCTTATACAGTCATACAAGACATAGCTTCTGATTTTTCACTTTCTCCAGGACATTCAATGATATACAGTACTACATATTGTAATGAAACAAATAAGAGATAATTCTCTCTGCAAATATTTGGTGCTGCAGCAACTTCCAACAATCTAAATGTATTTTATTCACATATGATCACAGCATTATTTGAAACCTGAGTATGTGATCTGAAGCACAAATTCATGGCTTCTTGCGCAAAAAAAAATGGAGGAATTCTTTCTGGACACATATCTGGCAACCCCTCTGCGCTTGAGCAATGGATGACCATCCCGGATGTGATGCAGTTTCTGAAACGTTTTACAAGCCACCTTTCTTCTGTCTCCATTATTATTTTTTCATGATTTGCTGCATACAATGCCATTCATCTTCAAGGACGCCCAGTTTATCTTTGATTAAGCAGGGGGCTTGTGTTGGATTGGAAAGAAGGAGTTGCAGATTAAAGGAATCATGCTTCCTATTTCCAGATAGAACAGGCAGAGTTGATTCTGGTACAGCACTGTTTTAATTGTAGGTGGATGGCATTGGTTTCAGGACAACCACATATTATATGGAAATATATATTTAGAGAGGGAATCCCTGCATATACTGCATATTTCACAGACAGTGCACAGAATATGCCCACACTTACAGTACAGTACAGGTACATTTTAACTCTTCTTGGGTCTCAGGGCAACAGAAATATCCATTGAGAACCAGTCTGTCAGATCTAGATGGTAACACTTCTTGATACAGTATTGTAAGAGAGTACAGAATAGTGGAAATAATTATTTTAATCATCATTTGCAAAGGGTGAACAATAACTGATCAGCCCATAAATTAGGCCCTGGGACAAAAAATCCTGGATACCATACATGACACTGGAAAATCTTTGGATTCAAGTTTACCATTCCCTCTTTTAAGGTACATTATATTCAGATTTTGAGTGATACTAATGCTTGAAACAAGTCAGGGTGGCACTGATTCTAATACATTGGAATGTAAACAAAAAGGAAGAAAAAATATCTTAAAATTGTTTCAGACAACTCTTATATAACTTGAAAATCATTTTAAACATGTGAAACTAGGAAATATCCTCACACAAACCATCTCACTTTTGCATCCAGGATTTAGATGTGAAAATTGTATGTTATTGATAACTTAAACCAATGCAATTACAGCACAGGCATGAAGTTTAAATCCACCTTTTTTTTCAATCTGATGGCTTGAGCTATATCATTCAGGAAGTTTGCTTCATTACAGGGCAATTAATCAAGACTTGGTGTTGCAAGCAGATGGTTTCCAAGAGATTCCTTGACTGAATCTTGATAACATTAGTTTTCAGTTCTGTAAATATGTGACTTTCTCAGCATTTCAGATACTGTACTGCAAGAACTTATGACTGATCTAAATAATTACTTGGGATCTGTGTATCTTTATGTCACCCAAAATGCTTTAATAACAATTCCTGTCTTTCACATGTGTAGATTGCTTTTGGAATTCAGTCAAATGAATGGATTCAACAATGCTATGCTAATTTTCTGGGATCTCAAAGGCAAAAGACTTCAGTGCTAAAGAAATTGTTTTTTGTATATATTTCTCTCAAAATTTATAATCAAACTTACAGTGAATTGGTGTTCAATTGCCAAAACATGAATGTCAGCAAGAGCAGCAGCAACAAAGGAAAGTAATGTGGGGAGAATCAGTGTCCATGGGTACCCCTGGATGCTGCAACACGGTATGACAGTACCATACCACACACACACATACATACCAAACCCGATCACAGCTCTCCCTCTTCCTGACATCACATAACGTCATACCAAGCCTTTCACTCCATGACACTGTGGTGAGCATCACCCCCCCCCCCCCCCCCCCCCCCCCCCCCACCCCGTGGTGGGCAACCCCCCCCCCCCCCCCCCCCCGAAAAAAAAGAGGGAGAGAGAAATGAGATCACAACACTGACTGACACACACACACACACACCCTGCGGTTCAACTGTCCCTCCCTCCCTCTCTCTCTTCCGGCCGGCAAAAACGGTTCCTCGTAAACAAACCCCTTCTCTCCCCCTTTCTTTCTTTTTTCGTGTACAGAGGGTTTGTTATGGATCAACCCGGCACCACACAACAAGGTTGCCGGGTACCACACGACTTTCCCCAAGGATGCGACGCAATAACCCCGATTCCCCGGGAATTGCGTTGTTTGTTGTTTTTCCCCCGGCATTCACCTTGACTCTCTCCCTCCATCCCTCCCTCCACTCTCTCTCTATATCTCTGCATGTATACATACAGTATTCATATGTATGAGGTTGACCAGGGAAACTTGGGCTAAATTTTACTGTGCAAGAATTCGGTTGAACACTGCGGAGAATAGAAATTTTGTGGAGGTGCAACGTTTCATTAATTGACAATTTTTTCTTTTAAGTACTGTATCATTAAATAAAATATTTTGGTGTAATAATTTATAAAACAATGGGTATCTTCGCGGGTGTATTGGTTAATTCGGGGTTTTTCCTAGAATTAATTTTTATTTCATTAATTAAACTAAGAAAATAAAAATAAATAAATAAATGAGAAAATCTCAATTTTCCAACTCCAAGGTCTACATGCAATCCTTGAGAAAACTCAACTGGTGGGAAATTAATTTGAACTGAAATGAAACGCTTTAATAATCGCTCTTGGAATCATTTCATTTTATATTTATATCCTGTTATATAAGACAAAGGATATTTTGCTTACCCACAAGCCTACATGTAATCCTTGAAAAATGCAACTCCTGCAAGAGGAATTAGACTGCCACTATAATAAAGGTAAAAATTATAGAGGGAATGATAAAATTATGATATACTGTACATGTCTCTCAGGCAGTGAAAAGTACATAAACAAATTTTGCATCAACACAAACACAGAGCATTATATATAATTTCAAAGAGAAACTGAGCTTTTCAGCCATCACAGTTTACCAAATTTTCAAAAAGAGGATGAATGAAAGCTTTCTCCAGTTTCTCAAATTGATAAAAAAAATTAAACTCTTTTTCAAAATTCTCTCAACAAACATGTGAAAATATGGATGAGAGAACATTCACAAGGAATTTATGCGCAAATTTCCCTCTAGCATAGATTCTTTTGTTTTCTCTTCAAATATCCTGTTGCTTTGGTCCGGTATATTGCATAGCGTACACTGTACACATACCGTACTCTGGGGACGCGGATCATCCAGAATGTATCCATCTCTAAATGGCTTTCGGATGCCGGTCTTGTGCTGTCAACTCACACGCGCACACACACACACACACGAGCCCTACGACACACACACACACACAGAAGGAGAGGGAACCAGAAACCCGGGTTCTACTGCTGGTTTTGTTTGTTTTCATCAACATACGGTACGAATACAGTACTTGTGGGTGATGGAATGATCAGCTGGCGGATACAGCTGTGTCAGGCGTGCGCGGGAAACATAAGATAGGGCGGGAGAGACGGACATCGCACAACCCTGAGCCATCTCTAGGTCTCTCTCCCTCTCTCGGACACCCTAGTTATCTCCCTCCCACTTGCCACGCCCATTTTTTTCCCCCGGGGTGGGGGAGGAAAGGAAGGCCGCGCGCTTTTCGACACTGCTTCCCTGTCCGTCTTTCTCTCTCCCCTAACCGCGATAAAGGCCTATGCCTAGCGGTAACCTGTCAATACAGGGTTAGCCGGAAAATGCTGGGATGATTTTCAAGCAACCAAATATTTTCTCAAGAACTGGTTAGCATACCACATTCTTCACGGAAGTGCATTTAATTCGGGCTTTAAAAAATTGGTATTCATGTGACATTAGTATGAAATTGGTTGTATAGGTAATACTGTGGTTGCTTTAAATGTTCGTTCTTGAAAAATTCAGCTTTGGATCAAGGTACTGAAAAATGTAGAGTGCATCAAGATTGAAATAGATTAAGGTATATTCAGCTAAAGGAGGAGAAGGATTTGTGACCAAAGAATTTTTTCAGGTTTTAGGAGATTGAAATTGGTACACCATTTTATCCTTAAACTTTGACAGCAAGGTTCTTGATACAGCATCATAAAAAATACATGTTATTGCTGTATGAAGTTGGAGAGTATTTTGGGTCATAAATTGAGCTGGACAGCAATCACATTGTCAGAAATGACTCAGTTTTAATGACAATATCCTTCTGCAGTGGTTTGACAAATTTTCACACAGGAATTTATTAGAATGATGGATGATTCTTCAAAAGCTTATTCAAACAGGATCATCATATCAGTGCATTGAATTACTCTGTGATCCCTGCAGTTTGTATCTGTATTTTTTCCAGAGCAGTTCAGACTTCTGTTTTGCAAGATTTTGTTAGATATTGAAGAAATTTCGCTACTCATCCTCACAAAAATTATAGTGAACATTTCCTCAAATTCATAATAAAAAAGGGCAATTCAGTGATGATTTTTCCTCATCATATGCGCACAGTATATCAAAATTTGCGCTTTATCCTTGCCTTTTGAGCTCTTTTTCATGCCAAAACATCAGATTATGTGTGGCTTCCTTTTACACAGTTATTTCCTGCATTTTGAAGTTGAGAAAACCACTTCTATAACATTTTCAGGGGGACTTTCTCCTTAATTTTTTCTTTAGAAACAATGGAACCAATTGAATAAGTTTCCACTGAATTTTATAGGAAAAAGTGATCCAACATAAACTTTTTTAGTTTATTTACTAAAACCCTGTAAATGACAAAACCCACAAGTGGGAATGTTTCAGAGGAAGAAGGAACTACCAGCACAAGGACCAGTTGCCTTTTTTGTCGGGAGGGGGGGGGGGGGGAAAGGCAGTGAACCGCGGCCAAGTGCATTGCTCCTCTCCCACCTACCTACATATCCCCCAACTACACACTCCACCCTGAACAACACATAGGACCGCTCAGTGACCGTTAAGTTTCCCCTCTCTTCTGAGCTGCTGCTGACAAAAAAGGGAGCATTGAACCACAGGAGTTGGTAAGACTTACTAAAACAAGAAGACAAGTGGGGACAGGAGGAAGGGAAGGGAGAGGGTAGGGGGACGAGATTCAACATGCATACACCAACTTGCTTGGTGCTCCCAAGGGTCGACGCACCTGCCACAGCAGTACAGTAGGGTACAGTACTGTACTGACTGTACCACACCATCTGGCAGCAGGTGTTTCACCTCCTCTCCCGTTTTTATTTTACTGTTAGGCATTAGCCAGAAAAGGTATTCAAGGGCCCAGGGCCAAAGTCCTTCTTGTTTTAAAAGCACAGCACAGTATTTCTTTCTTTGGAAGGAGAGAGAGAAGGGGGGAATTGTTTCCAGTTCTTGCCTGTGAAGGGGGGGGGGGTTGAGAGCTCAGGGTTATTGACCAATGGGTTTATATGTCTGAGTTGCCAACTATTTTTTTATGAGGAGTAATTCCCATTCTACAAAAGAGGTATAAATGAACTTGCATTGGAGGTGTGATAAAATAAAGCCATCTATCCAGAGTGTTGTGGCATTACTCAGCTTATGACTCATCAGTTGGTTGCACTGGTATTGATTGAGATATCTTGCTAGAGTGACAACAGTGTTTTCAAGGTGAGATTACTTCTTCCTCTTGATTTGACATAATTCAAATCCTTGATTTTAACTTTGAAAGAAATGAAACCATTTATAATTGGTGTGGAACAACTCAAGCATGGTGGACCAATAAGTCTCACTTCTGCTTTGCAGGAGCATCAAAAAGTTGGATGACTTTTCCTCCCTTAGATAATATCACTTAGAATTTGTGGAATCCCTCAGCTTAACTGACCAATTGGTCTTAGTGGTCTTCTGAATTCTGCAAACATTACTGTACTGTACAGTATTATATAAAATCCAAATAACTGATCCCCCATTGATGATTGTACAAGAATCCTGTATTTGAATTATGAAGGGAATTTATTGGAGGCAAAAAGAAAAATATACCCTTAGACTCCATTAAAATACTGAAAGTGCTTGGCCAATTGGTCTCACACATTTATGCAATCATTTTTCAACAGTCAATTGAATCCTTGGTGATTTTGGGACAGGTCAACAATTTCAGTCATCTTAATTTTTAAAAAACATAAAAACCCTCATTTTTTGATATACTCAAAATTACAGTATTCATCAACAGTTTTGATATGATTCCCCCAAAGAAACTCATCATCAGTGGAATGACCATTTTCTATCATGAGGCAATTTCAGTCATCCATGGAGGATGAGTAGCTACCTGTGATGCTTGAATAAACTCCCAACTTTGTAACCCATAGAATGCATGAAACAAATAACATGGGAAAAGGCTTATCTATCAGAAGCAAAAAGTCACTCACTTTTGGACTATCTTCAAAGTCATCATCCAGTTCTGCTGGACTGTATTCCTTTGGCAAGGGAGGCGAGGGGGTGCCATCTGGGTATGAGGCAATGCCACTGCTGCTGGCTGTTGAACTTGGTGATAGTCTGTCTGACCAGGAACTTCCTAGAAACATAGAAAAACCATTTGTGTAACCATGATGAAAGCATATAATGATTTGAACATGGGACATTTTGACTTTTCAACAGTTATTAGAAATGTTACTGAAAGGAGCCAGGAATGAATCATGAGGTCATCAAAAGTTCACCTCTGCTCAAATATTACTCAATTGGAAGAAAGACCAGGTATAATTATTCTAAGAATAGTCTATTCAAGGGATCAAATTAAGATAATCCTTATATTTAGATAATCTTATAAGGGTTATATAAGGATTTAGATCATCCTTCTTCCAAAGAGTGAAATTTTAAACACTTGGATGAAAGTATATTTGTAGTTAACCAACATTTTCTTCAAGCTATTGCCAATTCCAATTGTGATGCTGACAAAGAGGCATTCAGCTCTTCCAATTTTTGTTTGTGTACCATCATCACAACTAATTCTAGGTTTCAATGCACCATGATTTGGAAATGATAAAACTGGGATACATTAAAATCTAGAAACATATATGCAATCAAATCACATGTCTTGAAACTGATTTTAGTTTAAACAGCACATTTGCATGATACCACCTGGATAATTGATTTTCAACAAAAAAGTACAGAAGGTCAGCATTGTCACTTACTTTACATTTTGCTTTAAAATGACATAAAAACTCAGATATTGCTATAGGAAAAGGGCTGCATCACTATTTTTTATAGCATGGAACCTTTTTGTTTTTTCATGGTATCAAGAATATCTCATCTTGTTTCCAAATTATGCATTTCCTCTGAATGATGCAACTCACATACATTTCCTAATCTAGTTCAAAATAATCTAGAAATGAGGTAATCATTTCACATAATCTATATTCACATTACTCATTTGAGCAATATTTTGCTGACCTGGATACAAAATCAGCTTCTCTGTAGAGCTTTTCTTTCATCACTTGATTCATAAACTCTTCAGAAAGTTCCAATAGCATAACTCACACTGGAACAGATAAAATTCATCAGCATCAACTGTGACACATTTTGACAATACTGTCAGCAGGTCAAGTCTCTGAATTAAAGTCTAAGCATTTTTCTCTTAACCACACCCTGTCTGTCTTTTGGCAGAAGGAACAGCTCATGAAGCCAGGAGAAAAAACCCACCTCTGTGGAAAGTTCAAGGGCATTGAGAGTCCAGGTAAGAAAGGTGTGGGAAAACATAAAAAGAAAATACTGGACTTTAAGCTGAAGGCAAGAAATTATAATGTCAAAGTACTGCCAGGATTTGCAGGATTAAATAAACACAAAAAAGCAAGCCAACAAGAAAACACATACAATTAAAAAGTGTAAGATAGATTAATTCTAAGCTTCTTCCAGATATAAAATGTGATTAAAACATAAATGCCACCTTATTTTTAGCAGCACTGACCTTCCAACTCCCCTGGACTCTGGCCCTCATCAAAAATAAAATAATGCAACCAACAAATTACAAAAAAATCCCTGAGTATGTGGAATGTGTTGCAAAATTATTTTGTGGAATGCAAGAATAAAAAAGTAAGATTACATAAATGAAACTTTTTCAGGACTGACTTCCACCTCTCTTGGGTGCTTTCCCCATTATGAATGTTAACAAAACAGAGCAGCAGGCTCAAGTAGAAAAGAAGAATCCTTGATTATGAGATATAACACCAACATATTTTCTTTGGCTTCTGAAAACACTGGAACCTCTTTGAATGATAATTCAGTCTGAAGTCCCTTTGACATGCAAAATAAAGACACTTGAGTAGAAATAAACTACTGACACAAATAAACTACTGAAACAGAGTATTTCAGCAACAATGACCTTCCAACTCAGCTGGGCTTTGTCCCTCATAAAAGTTTATAACAAAACAGTCAACAAAAGTAAGAAGCAAAATAACAAGCAACTGCATTTAAAGTTTCAATGAATTTAAAATTCTAAAAATCAAGAAATGCAAACATTTTCTACAGCACTGACTTCCAACACTCTTTGCTTTTATCCCCAAAAAAATATAAAAACAAAAAATAAACTAACAAGAGTAAGATATACAAAAAAATCACAGAGACTGACAAAGGAGTCTACAGTTTATACTGCACCTTCAACTTAAAAAAAAACTGAGGATACTTTTTTGAATCTTTCCACCAGCACTAACCTTCCAACTCCCTTGAGTTTGTCACCCATCCAGGACTCCTTGGACTGCAGGACAGTCTCATGAGCACCATTGCAGCAGCACACTCATCCATCTCCTCCTCCCTCTCCTCCAATTGCTGCATGTGATGTTTTTTCTGCTGTTCCTCTTCTTCATAATCATCAATGTTATTGTTGTTGTTGTTGTTTGCAAGCTTTTCCTGCTGCTGATCCCGCATCACACCAATACCACGATCTGTCCTACATCCCCCAAGGAGACAGAAAATATGCAAAACAAACAAAAAAAACAAAAAAGAAGATGAAAACACATGTCCATTGCATCATGGAAGTGTAGGAGGGAGCCAAAACCTGAGGCTTGGATGGAAACATCTGATGAACAGACAGACAAACAAACAAACACCTGTACTACTAGGAAGGAAAAACAAACTTTGTCATGCTATCCACAGGACATTGAACTAGGAATGAAGTACTGTACTGTAAAAAATTTATTGAGTAATCTTGTGCGCATTTAAAATCCAGTAAAAAACCCTCTTGAATTGAAAGAATGAGAATAAAAACACAACCATCAGTAAATTAAACATCCAGTGAATGTGGATTGTATCTACTGCACTGTAAAGGAAAGTCTAAATGCCTCCCAGAATAAAGGATACTTCAGTGAAGCTTTGTGGGTAAACAAAAATATTGAGAAAGGGTGATCATTTGTTGGAGCATGAAAAAATGCCCCCAATCTTAGAATTCTGAAACTGTGTCTTCAATTAGGACCAGGTGATTTTGAAGCACCTTCATCTCATTTATTGTGTCATGCCAAGCAATTTTGCCTTTCCTCCAGAAAAAGAAATCACTTGAAAAGTTGAAGGATGGTAACAATAAAACCTGAAGTCTATTAATTGAATTTGTCAAAATAGGTGGACAACAAAAAATCAAATGACCTCCCTTTCAACTTTTCATAATTATTTTATATTTTTATTTTTTATTTTGGATTTACTTTGGCTAGAAAATAATTTAGCTCTGTTAAGCACCAAAATTTATATTCACAGAAACTTTGCATGATGAAAACACCATTTTGGAAAAAAAGGTGCACATGCTTAATGTAATACTATACACTAAGGATATTCTTGTACTGTACAAGCATTTATTTATTCAGCTAAGGGAAGCAAAAATTCTTCAAACCAAGTATCCTTTGTGAGTCAAACACATACAATGGGAAAAATTGAATCACATTTAAGTAATTTGCTGAGACATTTTCATGAAAAGCAGTTGAAAAAGATTTTTTTCAAAACCCAACAAACCTTGAAAAAACTAAGATGAACATGAAGTAACCACATAACAAAACCCAACTCAAATTTCAAAATTTTAAAATTAAAAAACGATTATTTTTCTTATTCTTCTTCTCTCTGGAAGCTGCGCAAATTCGAACAATCAAGAAACCCGCATTCCAAAAAACACGTCACATCAGAAAATAACCAAACGATATTTTTTTCCTAGAAGAATTGCGTCACAACTTTTGAGTGCGCAGCGATAAGAAGGACAGGGAGTGAGTTGAAAATAATTCCTCCACACCAGCAGCTGATAGAAAGCCCCGCCCCCTTCTTCTTCTTCTTCCCTGTCCTCAAGGACACCACTCAACAGTGAGGACAAATCATGAGGGTCATCAAATCTTAAATTAATAGGCATATCTCAGCTTTCTCAGCTTATGAATTCATCACTTCAACAAGAAAACTTTTTCTATCACCCAATACTTCATTGTAACTAGTATTTCATTTAAAAACTCACCACAGGAAGACTGGTTTTAAATCCATTTGAATCTGAACTCTCTCACTGCTCTTTATTGGCATCTCTGAACTCACAAGAGTACATTACTATACAGTATTATTCTTTCAAATCCTCCTCAGTTTCATAATTTCATAAGAACTTGAATATTGCTACATTACAAAGTCCTCTGTGCATAGAGAACAGCCAGATGTCACCCCCAGACAGACAATCACCGTTTAAGGATATATATTTTTGCAAGAGTTTATCTTAAAGCAGGAATCTAAATGTAAAAACATATAAAAGCCAATGTTTTCCCAAATAATCATAGTGAAAGTATTTTTACTGTACAGTATTTGGTGATGCATTCTAATTGAAAATTCCTGGGTTAAACACCATATACAGGCAATCCCTTGCCAATGCCTTAAAAACAAAATTATCAACCTTTACTAAGATAAAATTTATTAATTGTAACTGGCCTTAATCATATTATTATTTTGATGTTTCTCACAATTGAACCAACTTCCTGAAGGTACAGGAAATCTATGAATGATAAAAAGACCTCCAATAATTAATCAGGAAATTGTTCTTCTTGTGTAACCAAAAAAAAATCAGGCAATATTTCATAACTAAAAAAAATCTGAATTTCAAAGGCTTTCTAGAGTCTCTTTGTATTTGACTCAGGGATATTCAATGGGATTTTTCGAAATATTTAAAACATCATTGCAGAAAGAACATTTTTGTCAAGTTCAGAACAGACAAAAGCCAATGTTTTTGAAAATAATTTCTTTAGCACAAAAACGCGGAAATGCTGTTGAAAATGAGAGGCCATTCAAAAGAAACGTGAAATTTGTTTTTTGGAAAACTAAAATTGAAAAAGAGAAGAAGAAAATAAACTATACATTTGTTCCAACAAGTTTCACGATATAATGTTTTCGGTTCGCTGCTCACTGAAATTGAGTGAAAATGAACAAAGGAAGGAAATTGGAGGAAATTAATTGGCACAAGCTGAAATTGGTTCCACCCGATTTTTTTTTTTTTTGTTTCGACTGGCATCATTTCATCTCATTTTTTTCACTTTCTCTTCTCGGGACTTTTCCTCTTCCTGATTTCACCACTGGATTGGAAAAGAAAAGAAATGTGTTACAGCATATTACATGTAATCATGAAACAGTCTCTTCAATTATTATTTTTTATTCATGTGAAATTAGCTTTGAAACAATTCCAGGTCAAGATACAAGAACAATACTGTAATCATATTTTCTAACAATAAACCCTTCAAAAATTAACAAACTTTTATGATTTATAAAATCTGTATTGCAGTTTATCTGGCATAAGTTCAATCATATTCCTGTGCTGTATTTCCTTTTTTATTAAATAAAAATGATTATAAAAAATGCAATCATTTGTAAAGAAATCGCAGGCAGCAAAATTCAAGAAATGAATTGATATAAAATGGCTCTTCAATTCACCAAAATACAGTATTTACACATCAATTTTTAAACTTCACAATGAATTTTATTTCTGCTACAAGCTCACAGCCAGTGAAAAAAATACTCCTCAAAAAGAACAGAGGAATTACCTCAAGAATGGCAACATTGTCTCTTGAAAGTGAAAGCTTATTGGAATGGTATCCATACTTGAATGGACTTACATATCCAATGCTTTTAACAATTTTCTCAAGTTTTCTCTTATACAGTAAGTGAAACAAGAGTATTCACTGTTGTGTTGATCTCTCTTTCTTTGTTTCTATCTGCTTTAATTTTTTTTTTCAAAAGAAATTTCAGTATATTCAGTAGGGTCTTGGCTTACAAATGCTTTTGCTAACAAACTGTCCAGTTAATAGACTTTGGTTTTGGGCATGAGGTACATTGGTTAACAAAACCTTGACTTGGCTAACAAACTTCAGTGGATATGAATGTGCACCCCCAAAAATGTCTACCTGCTAACCCTTGTCCAAGGGATCAGCAGTCAGCCTTTCCCAGGAAATTTTCCTTGTTCAACTGCAAGGATTGAAGCTTAAAATAACCAAGAAAAATAATTCTTACATAATTTTCCATTTAAAGAACATTTGTTTAAATTTCTGCTGAGTAATTTCTTGATAATTCTCTGAATCTGGTTTTGTTTCATTACAGTGTTCCCATTTCAAATACTATGTATTTTTTTTAATGATTTCTAAACCCAAAATGGCACTGCTCAGATTGTTTTATTTTATTTTTTACAGACAGAGGTCAAAAGTGAAATATGCAGCACATACCCTGCTGTTTCTTTGAAACTTTCTGGGAACAATTTCTTGAATTTTAGGCCTAATAGTGGGAATTTTTATGATTAATTTTCTTGATTTTCATGGGCACTTTCAAGGTTCTGGAACCAATTGAAATTATTCCTGTACTTCCTCAAGGGAGGACATGATTTGCCCAACAAATTACTGTATTCAGTTAACAAAGTTTGCTCAGGAAAGTGAGGAAACCCTTTATCCCTGTAAGTTTGTAGTTTGTAAAGTTTTTAATCCAAAACCCCAGTGTATTCACTCTCTCTCTTAGTATAACATCCAAAAAAATACTATTGTTTTATATTCAAATTGCCAAAAGCTTAGTTTAGCTTATTCTTTTATATTTAGGTGTATTTGCACAAGAAATTTCGATTTTCTAGGAATTAATATAAGTTATTAAATATGTATAATAAAGGCTGTTCTCCCTCTTTTTTCTTTCTCTCTCCATCTCTGGCTTTTAATTTTCTCTCAAACTAAATTTCACTGCATTCACTCACTCTCCCTGTATGTGTTTTAATTTGCTCTCAACCTAAATTTCACTAAATTCACTCTCTGAGTTTCAATTTTCTCTCAAAAGAAATTTCCCTACACCATGCACCAAAAATTGTGCTCTTCAGAATAAGAAGAAGAGCCTTATTCAAGTGATGACAATGAACAAAATCCCACCAGAGGAAACCCTGGCGTACCCCATCACCCACATGTACAGTATAAAACCGCACACACACACACAATATACTGTATCTACATACTGTAAATACAGTACATCCTCGCGGGACAAAAACGGACAGGCGGTCGGGGAAACACGCAGGAAGAAAGAAAGAAAGAAAGAAAGAAAAAGATTGACGGAGAGAGAGAGAGAGAGAAGGACACGCGGGAAAAGTTGCCGTGACCTAGCTCGCTGCTTGCGGAACCAAAAGTCCCTCTCTCTCCCGGATGTGAAGTAGGTCACGATCCCGACCGAAAATGAAACACGGTCATGGAAGAGGGGGGGGGTGTAAGGAGGAGGAGGAGGAAAGAAAAAAGACGACCCCCCCTCCACCTACCACCAAAAAAACCCAGGGTTCCACTTCTTCTTTAAGCCTGACCCACACACATATTCCCTTTCTTTCTTTCTTTCTTCCTGGTCCTGTTTCAACAAGAAAAATCACTGCTCTTCCACAGGACACAAACACAAGTACATATATGACTATTATATCCTTAGGCAAAATCTCACACAAGCACAGTTTCCACAAATTTCATAACACAGCATGTTATTTTCCTTTTCTAAAATTACTTTAGGATGCTGTGATGCATCAGTTTCCAATTCTTAAAAAAAAAAAGTTCTGGTTCCTCAGTAAAAAATTATCAGGGAGAATTCCTCTACAAAATGTATTCAGTGAATATAATACAAACTTATCAAAAAGAAGAAATAAATAAATAAATTTCCAAAGCCTTATCAGAAACAAAGGCTTAAATAATGTGTTATACAGTACCTAAAGAAGGTCCCAACTTGAAGAATAATGAAACTTTCATTATAAAAACAGCTAGTCAAATATAGTGCAAAGTGATATCAAATTACAGTGGTACCTCTCCAAGTCAAATACCTCCCTAACTAAACTTTTTTTTCTAGTCTTCATCTGATTCCCTCAGAAACAATGCATTAAAAACCTCCCTAACTCTCAAACCTCTGTAAGTCAAATTTTCTAAAGCCTTTCGGTTGCTATTTAACTGGAACATGAAAGAAAAAAATCAATGAAACAAATGATTTTAAGCATCTTGAAAGGAAGAGAAGGACAATTCAAGCAAATGAACCCCTGTATCCAAGTTCAGCAAGCTGTAAATTCATAAAAAAGTAAGTTTGGGCCCAGGATTTCCTCTTTTACAATTTCCTGCAATTTTTTCCAGCATTTATCCTGGCAGCAAAAATCATTGTTTCCCTAACTCAAAACCTCCCTTTTCTTCCTGGTCCCTAAAAATTTGACTTAGAGAGGTTTGACTGCACATGTTTCAAATCCCTAGGAAATATTCTTATTGTTGTCATTCTTGAAAAAAAAACACATAACTGAATGTTTTCAGATATATGTGAGATACTGTATCATAAAGCATAGCAGCACAAATGGACAAATACCAGGTTTCAAGTTCTCAGCAACACAGCTGTTGAACTCAAGATTCGACCCACCCTTTATAAACATCAGACTCATTATTAATCTAATCAACCTAGTGTAAAATAAAAATAATGTAAAATAAGTGATGATGCAAAATGTAACTCACATTTGCTGTGGGCTGAGCAGGATGGTGTCCGGGGGTGGTTCCTTCGGCGAAAGCACCAAGGAGTTGCCAACGGGCTAAGAAAATTGACGTCACGAACATCAGATGCCGTGTTTCTCAAAGGGTACATTACCGTACCGTACCTTCATGACTGTCGGCTTGGTGACCACGAAGGTGGATCCGGGGTTGCCAGCACCCGCACTACCCCCGGAACGCAACAGGAGATGCACCCCTCGTTTCCGATTCAGATGTGATGTCTAAAATGTTCCATGCATCCAATAACTGATGCTGTATAACCATCTAATAAAGAATGAACTAAGTACAGATCATTCAGGCAAATTGAAACCATCATTTTTGAACTCCATTAAATTCCTAAACAGACACTGAAGGTACAGCATTACAAGAATTCCTTGTGAAGAGTCCCAGTAGTTCTTTTTTTCATATGTAATGTACAGAATATAGTGTATGCATGATCCAAATGTTCCATAATTAAGATAAAGCAGAGAATTATTTTTTTTAATGCATGACTTCACTTGCTGTTGAAACCTGTTCCTGGGTTGGACCCAGTTCTTCAATATTACATAAATTGGGTTAGAATAGAAGACTCTATATATACATTGCATTCTATATGGTATGCCCCCAATAACATGCAACTCCAACCTTCACAGAATGATACAACCATCATGTTACTCATACCTACAAAACTCATAGACATTCAGGAGGCATAACATCACACACACGATCTGAAAATTCTTGAAATTTTTTTTCTGAAACAACCAACACAGTAGAAACATAAAAGCAATGATAGACACTTACAAGAACATTACCAATTAAAGCTGTCATCAATTTTAAAACTGGATTTTTGAAGTTATATTTGCCACACAAAAAAGTATACTGTACTTGTACCTCCATTCCTTCAGGGTAAGCCATTTGACATAATGAGTTCGTTATCCGGTGCTATAGACATCTTATACATCACTTGGAGTTTGTAATCTGAAAACATATGTTGGACAAATGGCGCTTGCTACACTGTACCCGGGTTTACCAATATGTACAGTACAGTACTCCATGCTGTGTCTTGTCACGCTTTAAAAGAAATGTTGCTCCCAAATCACAGAACCGCACAATACCTTATTCCAAGCCAGGGGTGCAAAAAAAATGAAAACAATAGCAACCTCCGAGGTAGCAACACGCCATCAGGATCCGAAACCCGGCTCTCACGGCCTCAGGGGCAGGCCATAAACACTACACAGCTGACGAACCCACGCGCTGCGCATCACATTTTTTTTTATTTCTGGCTTGTGCTCATCTTACACAAAAACGAGTTCAGATAGGGGGGGAAAGGCGAAGGGCGGAATGATGCAGAGAGAGGCAAGCCGAGTTGAACATGTTGACGCTACTCCCTCTCGACGAACACTGAGGCGCAGCCCGGGCACGAGAACCGGTTTTCCCAGCTTATATTAGCAGGGAGAGAGGGAGAGATATAACTGCGCTGAGGCACAGCACAGCACATGTAACCGCCTCCCTCGCGCGCTCGTCGTAGTCCCTCCTGGTGAGTCGTACGGAGGCGTGTTGTGGTGTGTTTCCGAGGAGCCGGGAGTGTTGGGATGCAAGAGTGCCGGTTAGTAACAGCGGGTCCGGGGACAGTGGGACAGAAGCAAAACACTGGCCGGCTGGTCGCCTGCGTGGTGCCAACTTTGTTCTGCGAATGTGTTAGCACCGGGCGTTTTCTTTCTTTCGTTCTTTCTTTTTTTTGCGGAAATTTATGATGTAATTAACAGTGTTGGAATGCATTTTTTTGCTAATCCTAACTAATCATGAAGGCCTCGCGAAATGAACTCAGATTGCCACTTATTCTTGTTTTGGATAGTGGACCCAACTTGGAATACTGTACTGTATCCGCAAAAGCCCACAAAATGCTGTTTAGTTTCCTTGTGAAAATGGACTGTTCATGTAATTTTTAAAAATGAAAAAACCCTTTCCTGGTATTCTTGATTTTGTTTATAAATGAAATCTGATTGCCAGTTTTTTTCCTATCGAGTGGCATGGTTTTCCATATTTTATTATTGGAAATATTCATTCATAATTGTTTCCAAGAATGATTTAAAGAGATTACCAAGAAAATCTGGAATGGACATGCAGTACTTGCAAATAATTTTACATCAGCTGATGGGCTCTTGGCAAATCAGCCTTTTTGTATAATGTTACATTATTATAATTATGCAAATCTGCATAAATGAATCAAGGTCATCAAACAGATACTATATACTGTATCATGAAAATGTTTACAATTCCTTCAAAAAATGTATCATCAACTTGATTGGAAAACAAAANCCACACAAAAAAGTATACTGTACTTGTACCTCCATTCCTTCAGGGTAAGCCATTTGACATAATGAGTTCGTTATCCGGTGCTATAGACATCTTATACATCACTTGGAGTTTGTAATCTGAAAACATATGTTGGACAAATGGCGCTTGCTACACTGTACCCGGGTTTACCAATATGTACAGTACAGTACTCCATGCTGTGTCTTGTCACGCTTTAAAAGAAATGTTGCTCCCAAATCACAGAACCGCACAATACCTTATTCCAAGCCAGGGGTGCAAAAAAAATGAAAACAATAGCAACCTCCGAGGTAGCAACACGCCATCAGGATCCGAAACCCGGCTCTCACGGCCTCAGGGGCAGGCCATAAACACTACACAGCTGACGAACCCACGCGCTGCGCATCACATTTTTTTTTATTTCTGGCTTGTGCTCATCTTACACAAAAACGAGTTCAGATAGGGGGGGAAAGGCGAAGGGCGGAATGATGCAGAGAGAGGCAAGCCGAGTTGAACATGTTGACGCTACTCCCTCTCGACGAACACTGAGGCGCAGCCCGGGCACGAGAACCGGTTTTCCCAGCTTATATTAGCAGGGAGAGAGGGAGAGATATAACTGCGCTGAGGCACAGCACAGCACATGTAACCGCCTCCCTCGCGCGCTCGTCGTAGTCCCTCCTGGTGAGTCGTACGGAGGCGTGTTGTGGTGTGTTTCCGAGGAGCCGGGAGTGTTGGGATGCAAGAGTGCCGGTTAGTAACAGCGGGTCCGGGGACAGTGGGACAGAAGCAAAACACTGGCCGGCTGGTCGCCTGCGTGGTGCCAACTTTGTTCTGCGAATGTGTTAGCACCGGGCGTTTTCTTTCTTTCGTTCTTTCTTTTTTTTGCGGAAATTTATGATGTAATTAACAGTGTTGGAATGCATTTTTTTGCTAATCCTAACTAATCATGAAGGCCTCGCGAAATGAACTCAGATTGCCACTTATTCTTGTTTTGGATAGTGGACCCAACTTGGAATACTGTACTGTATCCGCAAAAGCCCACAAAATGCTGTTTAGTTTCCTTGTGAAAATGGACTGTTCATGTAATTTTTAAAAATGAAAAAACCCTTTCCTGGTATTCTTGATTTTGTTTATAAATGAAATCTGATTGCCAGTTTTTTTCCTATCGAGTGGCATGGTTTTCCATATTTTATTATTGGAAATATTCATTCATAATTGTTTCCAAGAATGATTTAAAGAGATTACCAAGAAAATCTGGAATGGACATGCAGTACTTGCAAATAATTTTACATCAGCTGATGGGCTCTTGGCAAATCAGCCTTTTTGTATAATGTTACATTATTATAATTATGCAAATCTGCATAAATGAATCAAGGTCATCAAACAGATACTATATACTGTATCATGAAAATGTTTACAATTCCTTCAAAAAATGTATCATCAACTTGATTGGAAAACAAAAGTACAGTACATGAACAATTTTTCAAAATCCATCATTAATTATATACCTCATTTGAAGATGCATGTATCCCTAATCCTTTTGCATCTCTGCATAGCTTCCCCTTCAGGTATATCACATCATGTATCATGCACATCAGAATGCAGTGGGATCTTGACAAACAATTGCCCCAGGCTAACATCCTGTACTTTTTCTCAAACAAAATTGATGTGTTTAAAGGCTCTGTACTGGCTTACAAATACGGATCCAAATTCTAAACCTTTTGGGAGGATAAATAAAATTTCACAAGATCCAAGATTACTTTCACATCCACAAACCCAAATTCCATTTGTCAGTGTGAACACCGGTTGAGAAATCCAGGCCGGTATCGAGCTCCAACACCCGGCTCCCAAGAGAAGGAGGAGAGGGAGAAAGTGCTGGCGAAAAATCAAGTCAGAGAGAGAGATGGAGAGTGAGAAAGACACATGATTGCGGGACACACGCATATCGCAAGATCGAGAGCGAGAGAGAGACAGTCAGAGAGACATCCCGGGTAGGACAGACAGCAAAAAAGGCGCAACGCAGAAAAACGTGACAGCGGACCGGCGCACTCCCTCACCGGATAATGAAGCGCATCTCTCCCTACCTCTCTTTCGGAAACTCGCGCGATAGTTCCAGTGGCGCAGTGCGAATATATACGGTGCAGAGCGAGAGAATGCAAATGGAGAGAGGGGGCGTCATGTTGCGTTTCTCCATGTGCGTGTGTGTGTGTGTGTAGTTATCTCTCGCTCTCTGTCCGTTGCTCCCTCATTTTGCGCCTCACATTGCGTTACAGTACCGGGTGTCCCACCAGGCGTGTTGTTACCCGAGTGGGCTGACGCATTTTCGCGAGATGAAACTCGTCTTTTTTTAGGAGGGGGAGGGGGGGGGAAGAATCACTGGACTGAACCTTGGTTCTGGTTTGTTCTAGCTTTTCCATGATAAGAATCACAAGATTATGCGTCTCTTTCTCTGTACAGTAAGATTCTTCCTAAGAATTGTTATTTTTATCATAATAAAATAGAAAAATGGCGCTGGGAAACGGCTGCTTGACGACATATACATACTTACAATGGATACATACCTTCTGACAGACAGAGTTACATGCATGACGCTTGAATTTGACACAGGGCATTCTGGGCTGTAGTAGCAAGGCATCAACTGTCCAAAATGTAAGTGTGTGTGTGTGTGTGTGTGTGTGGATTTTTTTTCACACACTTACTGCTGTTCCACTTCTTATTTGAATAGCATGCTTTGGTAAGAAATCATCCCTGGTTTTGAATCTGGAGCACGAACCCAGTGGTGCTTGAAGAACAGTTCCAGAAACTGGAGAACAGGTGGTGGGGACTATTGCAGGTAACAGACGGACCATCCCTTGAACAAATGTGGGCATCTGCTCTTTGCACAATTAGACATGCTTGAGTATAGCATACTTGAGGTTTTACGGAAACGGTGATTATTAGTAAATTTGTGCTGATCATGAGCAATGTAAAAACCTTGTTAATCAGAATAATGACTTTTATCAATGATCTCTGATCTTTCAAGGATGCCAATCAATTTCCTAAATTGTCAATTTGGAGGAAAAATAAAAATTTTGATGCATTTTGGGCCAAATTTGTTTTGTAACATAAGGTCTTTTAAAAAAAATCTAAAAAGGCCTGTACAGGTGTTCTTATTCGAGAACAAAATTTGAGGAACCAGAAAAAAATTGTTGTGGAGAGAATTTTATAGTAAAAAACATTTTTATTATGGGGAGAGATCCATATGGGACCTAGAAATTATTAATTGTACAGAGAAATTGTTGTAACTGGCCAGTGTGTGCCTCAGAGATAGCGTCAGGCCGGCCGGAAAGGACACAAGACAGCAGTTTCTCCGCGTAGCAACGTGACGTTCGAACAGAGGCCACACCCACCACGCGCGCCTGTCTCTCTCTCTCCCTCTCTCTCTACTTCGCTCTTGGGGGATATCGCGCAAGAAAGACCATCCCGCAGACAGAGAATCGAGCAGCCTGCAGAGAGCGAGAGAGAGCGAGGAAAACTGAGAAAGACAGCAGCCGGGAACCACGGCCGGCATCAGCTGACGGATCACAACAACACCACCACCTCCTCCTCCTCATGGGGAGGGT